ACGGAGTCCGCACTAGCGGACATTTAAAAATGGCGGCGCCCGGCTTTATGCAAATGAAGCCCGGGAAATTCAAATCCCGGGCTTCATTTGCAACTCCGGTTGCCTACACTACCACCCTAGTTCGAACTAGGGTGGTAGTGTAGACATACCCCAAATGCTTATCGGATAGTCAGTCGAATAGTCAACTAGTTGCTTCCCTCCTCCCTCTTACTGCCGAAGAGGCATTCAAAGGGGCAGTGCCCTGGAGTCCAGGGTCAGCTGGGGACTCCTCAACTGACCCAGGTTCCTTGCAGCACCTCCCCAAAAGGATCCCGGGTTCCACAGCAATGCTTCATGGAGCCTGGGATCAGGTGGGGAGTCCTCAGCTGACTCCGGACTCTCCGGTGCTGTGCCTTTGAAACACTGAGGTGGCATTTCAAACGGGCAGCCACCATGCCACTGATCCTGGGATCAGCAGTGCGATGGCTGCCTCTTTGAAACACTGAAGGGATGTTCAAAGAGGCAGTGCCGCACAGCTGATCCACGGATCCTCCCCAGCTGATCCCGGGCTCTGTGCGGCATTTCAGTGGAACCCGGGATCAGCTGGAGAGTCCCCAGCTGACCCTGGGTTCTGGGGGAAGTGCTGGGTTATGGGGGAAGTGCTGGGTTCTGGGGGAAGTGCTGGGTCAGTTGGGGAGTCCCCCACTGACCCTGGTCTCCATGGCTTTGAAATACACAAGAGTCCCCACTGGGGACTCTTAAACATTTCAAAGCTGGCACGCACGTGCAGCCCAGAGTCAGCGGGACTTCCCGCTCGCTCCGGGTAGCACACGTAGTTCTGCATTCCTCCTTTGAAATGTACAAGAGCTCCATCAGGGGCTCTTGTACGTTTCAAAGGAGGAATGCAGACGTGCCTATCGACTAGTCAAGTAGTTGATGGAAATTTAACATCCTTAGTAGGGACATCCCAGGGTTTGGTCTTGGAGCAGGAGCAAATGGGGATGTTCCAGAGGAAGGGGAGGGGGGCTAGTCTTGAAGCCAAGTGTGTGCAGTGGCCAGTGGAGCTGTCCCAGGGGAGCCAGGCTGATGGTGGAGAAAGATGTCTCAGGTTAGTGAGATGAAAAGAGGAGAATGGACCAGGGTGGTGGCGGAGGCCCTTCTGACTCATGTCTGTGCTTTGGGGGCCACCTGAGTTTTGACCATCCTGTCCCAGGGGAGGCGGGACTTGAACTCACAACCCTGTCCTCCCCAGGTGAGCACCCTGTCCCCTAGGGCACACAGGATTCTGCCTCACCGCCTTACTCTCTGCTGCAATCACAGTTTCCCCTTGCCAGATATGCTGTAATCCAGTGGCAAGGGTGTCAGTGTAGCACTAACCCTGCCTCTCCAATGGCCACAGTTCCCGCCAGTGATCATGGCTTTCCCGAGTGTTTGTGGTGACTCTGTTGTTTGAATCCTCTCTAGGACTGCACCAAGGGCCTAGAAAGGGCTCCATATGCTGTAAAAGGCAGCAGAATTTTTCTTCGTGTTTCCTATGTACCTAGTGGAAAATGGCCTGGCAGCTCCCTGCACCTAAATCCAGTCTTTGTACCTGCTGGCCTCTCCACTTGGGACAGGGAGGGACCACACCAGAGCAGTGGCTTTCCAGCACACAAATATGTTAGGACTGCACCAAGGGCCTAGAAAGGGCTCCATATGCTGTAAAAGGCAGCAGAATTTTTCTTCGTGTTTCCTATGTACCTAGTGGAAAATGGCCTGGCAGCTCCCTGCACCTAAATCCAGTCTTTGTACCTGCTGGCCTCTCCACTTGGGACAGGGAGGGACCACACCAGAGCAGTGGCTTTCCAGCACACAAATATGTTTATATGGTGTGTCCGGCACCCCCACAAAGCTGCCTGATGCTGCCAGAGTAGTTATGCCTGCACCCAGAGAGGGATTTCCTCTTGTCCTCTTCCTGTAACCTGCTCCTTTGGCCTTTTCCTAGGTGTGAAGCGAAATGTCGCAATGGGACGTATGGCGAGAATTGCGCCTTTGTGTGCAGTGACTGCTTCAATGGAGAATGCCACTTTGAGACGGGCAGATGCCTCTGCCGGGCAGGCTCTCACGGCACCTAGTAAGTGACTCTTGTGTCTTGTTCCCTGTGCAGCTGGTACTCCGGTTGCACAGGCTGCTGTGGCCATTGCAGAGCTGTCTGGATACACAAACATGGATTTGGGCACATGGGTAGGATCCCCAAGAGAGGAGGATGGAGGGAAGAGCCCAGAAAAGTAAGGTAATAATCAGAGCTTACTTTGTAATGAAAGAGGAGCCAGAGCTCAAGCAATTTACTTTAATAACTGACATGTCAATCCCAAAGGCGCTAGGTCTCTGAACTGCCACACCTAGAGCCCTGGCATGTCCCAGCAGAAAATAAGCACCGACAGCATCCCCTAAATAATCTCTTTGGAGCCTGAAAGAATGCATAGTGCTTGGAGGTGGCGCCAATTGATTACTGTTTGTTTTTGTCCGAGCTGGGGTTGCAATTGAGGGGGGCTTCACATGTCTCAGATCAAGTGACCGCTCAATTATTAGTGCAAAGTTATCCTTATTTCTTCATTCCTGCCTTCACCTGCATCGACCCTATCAATGAAAATATTGTGGGCATTGGGTCTGTTTCCTACTTTCAGTTGCAGTACTGTCTTTTTGAATTTTCATCAATCACCCTTTTCAGGCTGCCCAGTGTTCATCCAGACTCTCGAGCAGAATTTTCTGAAGAATACACCTGAATTTTGTGAGATATTTTGCTTTTGCTGTTATGCTGGTTTTCACTGTCAGATCCCCAAATAGAGGGACAAGCTGAACAGAATTATTCCTACAAGAGATAATTGCTAGTAAAGCAGTATCTTACTTCTCAGGCCTTTGTCACCATTCCAGAGACAACTCAGTATTGTTGCACATTTATTGCCCTTCACACGCTTTCACACACAAACACTTGTAAATGTACACCAGAAAAGGCCCAGAGTACACCAGTGCCACTTTTGTTCCACTCAGTCGAGAGAGCTTCTTGTGATTTTCACCAATCAAAAACTAGTCAAGAGACAAAACCAACATCACAACCCCACTGAGAAACTCAGGTCAAAACAAATAGACCTCTCAGAAGATTTTTTTTAAATGGAACAGAAAACATATCATGTGTTACTCATATCACATGCCTATTTATCCCTCAAATATCTCATTCAGTGCAAGAAACCTGCAGTGTTGGGAAGAAAGCACAAAAAGCCAGGAATCTGTTGGTGTTCTTGGTTTGTAATTAGATTGAGCCAAATTTCTGCTGACAGTGGTGTCAGGAGTCTTCCAGATCCCACCTGAAGTACCTTGAATTGCCTAAGGAAACCTCTCTGTAGCATCCCTTCCTGTGGAAAATGTCTGTTGTTGTCTTGCTCAAATTCCTTTTGGTGATAACTGGTTGGTAATATAGAGATATGCTTTTCCTGAGAATTAAACCAAAGGTCACTGAGAATTTTTCTTGTCCAGTTAAGCATCCGGGAGACTGATAGTGATTGCCCAAGAATTCATGAACAACAATGTACTTTAGCAGAGTACTTAGTTTGTTTGTTCGATGCATGGAATTTGATGCATGTTTGTTTGTTTGTTTGTTTGTTTGTTTGATGAACCTGTGCATTCTGTCATCTCCTTTGTTATATTTCCATTGTCAGCCCTTCTGGTGGATACAATTCCCTTGGGAACAATTCATGGTCACCATCCTTTGCTAATAATAACACACTGTATGTTTGAATTGTAGGCAGTAACCGCTCTAGCCAAGACTCCTAGGGGAGGATTAATTCATTAGCTGAAATTATCTTTTGTAGTTTACCGAGCCTGAAGATTAGTTGGAACTTCAGGTCTCATTTTCAATAAATGTGTATGGTCTGTGACTTGGAGAGGCTTATCTTGTACTCTGGGAATATTCTCTCTTCTTGAATGGGAGCAGATAGTGTTTGGAGGAAGGGTTATGAATTGTTGCATATAACAGAGGGAGGGAGAAAGCCTCTCTATTTCTTGTTGTGTGGGAAAGGATTTAATTGTTATGAAAATGATAAAAAAATTGGGTAAGTGCTAAATAAATGTTGAAGAGGACTGGTCAGTAATGATTGGGATCACTTGGTAAAGTAGACACAAGCAACCTGTGCATTTTAGTACAGCTATCTACCAATGTATATATCTAGGAACAAAAATGTAGGATAAAATATTTAGAAAACCTGATCTATCAAGAAAGATTACAACAACTAGGCATGTTTAGTCAGAAGTAGACTGAGACTGTACCTGATAAGTCTTCAGACCTATTACTTACAGCAGGGGTCACCAACCCGTAGATCAGGATCTACCAGTAGATCTTGGAGCCTCTGACAGGGGATCCTGACTGGTTTAGCTGGGAAGCTATCAAGTGCTGGCACTTCAGTTGCCCCTCCCTCTACTGTCATGCTGCTCCTGCCTCTTGGGAGCCTCCTGCTTGCTGTGCAAGGTGTGGGAGGGAAAAGAGGGAGGTGCTGATGTCAGGGTGTCTCTCCTCCCTCCACTCCCTGACACAAAGAGAGGAGGATGGATGGAGCTTGACAATGCAAATCTGTCACTCTCACAGTGTGTGTGTCTCTGTCATTCTCACAAACACACACTGTCCTTCCCTCTCATCTCCTGACCCAACACACATGTGGGGTTAGTTACAACTTTTGTTGCTTGCAAAGTGGGTTAATTTTGGTTTTTGACTGGTCTGTGCATTTCATAATTTCCATTTCTCTCTTTTGCTTAAATGTAATTCTTTGAGGAGTGAGTTCTAAAATGCCGAACCTGTCATGGCTGGAGTCATTGTCATTGTGGTAATTGTGCTCCTGGAAGTGGCAGGCATGCCACCTTCAGGGCATCCCTTATCCTGCCTTCCTGCCTGTGTTGGCTGTCTGGCCACTCCCAGGGTGGGTGGAGGGAGAGATTGGACTTGAGGCTACTACCCTGCACTCCGAGGCAAATGCTGTATCCTCTTGGCCACTCCAGAGTCCACCCCACCTCCCTACCCACACTCCGAACCCCTTGGCCCAAGACCAGAGCCTGCACCCCCACACCCTTCCCCAGCCTGGTGAAAGTGAATGAAATTCAGGGAGGAAGGGGGATGGAGGGAGCAGGGAGAGGCCTCAGAGAAGGAGTGGAGCAGGAGCAGGGCCTCAGAGAAGCGGGGAAGGAAGCCAGGCAAGGGTATTTGGGTTTGAGGTAGATTTTACATTGCTCTTAAATTGAAAAAGTGAGCTTGTGTTAAAAACGTTGGATACCACTGCCTTAGGTGTTTATTTTCCTCTAGGATTTTACAAATGATTATTTAATAATTTTCCCAGTATCTTTCCATCTGAAAAACTTTAAGTGACCGGTATATAAATAGAGCCCTGCAAGTCAATGGATATCCTCCTTATATCTGCAGGTATCTGCATCTGTGGATATGGAAATCTGCAGCTCATTTTTGCAGATTGGATATGAATACAAATTTTCTACCTAGAACCCTGCAAATTTGCAGATATCCACTTTATATATCTGTGGGTGTCTATGGATGTCAGTGCGGATATCTGCGACTCATTTTTTGGATACAAATTTTGTATCTACATAGGGCTTTATCCCTAGGATCTCTTTGTTCCCCCTTTTAAAGACAGGGATTAAGTATGCTTTTCTTCAGTCCACTGAGAAATCACCCATTCTCCATGAGTTCTTGAAGGTAGTTGCTAACAGTTTCAACATTGCTTCAGCAAGTTCCTGAATTTCATCAGGCCCTGCTAACTTAAATATATCTAACATATCTAAATATTCTCTAACCTATTTCTTTGCCTATTTTGGCTTGTGTTCCTTATTGTTAATATTGTGTTAAGTATATGTTGAACTTTAACCTTCTTATTGAAGACTGAACCAAAATAGGCATTAAACACTCAGCTGTCTTCATATCATTAGTTCTTAACTCCCCTTCGACACTACGAAGAAAATTTATGTTTTCCTTCGTCTTTCTCGTTTCAGTGTATTAAAAGAACCTCTTCTTATTGCCAGTTATATCCCTTGTAGGTGTAATTTTTTTGTTCCTTTGTCTTTCTTATTTCATTCCTACTTGCTTGTGCTTTTCTTTTGTTCCTTTGCAATTCATCTGTTTCCAGTTTTTGCGGGATTCCTTTTTGATATACATGTTATTAAAGTGATAGAAATGTAGCCGTGTTAGTATTAAAGAGCTCTTGATGGAGCCATATTAGCATATTACTATAAGGATAGTTTGCAGTTACGTGTTTAATATTGTCTCCTTGAGAAACTACCAGCTCTCCTGGACTTTTTTATCCCATGGATTCTCTTCCCACTGGACTTTACTGCTTAGTTTTCTGAGTGTGTTAAGTGGCTTTTTTGAAATCCATTGTTCTTATTCTGCGGCTGTCACTCCATCCTTTCCTTAGAATCATGAAATCTATCATTTCATAATCACTTTCACCCAAAACACCTTCACATTTGAAACCAATTCCTTCCTGTTGGTCAGATTGAAATGTAAAGTGTGTGTCCCCTACCACTGGAACACTTTACCAAGGTCACATGGACCTCCATTACTGACAATTTTTATATCAAGGTATTTTAAAAAGGAGTGGGTTTATTTTACTTATTTGAAATTTGACACACAAAAAAGTCATCTGAAAATTTCCAGTTTTGAAATATTTATTTCAGGGGTTTTGCTTACTCCCCCAACCACCTGCCATTATAGTTCACATATTGTCTCTGCCTTCCCCCCCTCGGCTTTCCCTCTTTTTCCTTCCTTTTTTCCATTTTCCTGCCGGGAAAGATGACAAAAAGGAAAACAACACACTTAAAAAACAAAACAGTACTGAAAACCCATACTTAATTTTCACCATTCTTCTGGTTTTATCAACAAAGAACATACTTCAAAAATTAAAAACTTTCATGAAAAATGTTATGGAGAGATCATTTATTCATGGAAACTACTTTTTTTGTTCAAAAGATGTCCACCAGCTTCAATCAAACCCTGGAGGGGACTCAGGTGAAAACCTGACAGACTCTGAAAGTTGGGAGAGGCCCCCTTTCAGATCCTCAGGTCCAGGTAGCTGGGGGCTG